CTGCTGGTACTTTGGGCAGGGGAATTCTTTGTTATATGGAAATAATTCAGGCATTACCAGCATGTGACATCCCTGGCCCACCCACTAGGACCATCAGATACTCTCCAACATTTAAAATAATACTTAGGAACCTGTTTGAAAATCACTGGAAATAACTGAGCAAAAAGATTTTTCATGTCTACTGCGGCTCTAACGTTGTTTCTGGTTGTGTGAGTGTTTTCTGTATTAGAGTACTATCTGATTAAAGTTAGAAAAAAAATCTGCAAGTGAATGAATCTATTGTGAATCAAATAATGCTGTGCTGGACTTACTTGACTATAAATAGTTATGTGGAATTACTGGGTATAAGGGCATGAAGATTTTAAAAAGCGTTGCTTTATATTGCCCTGCAGAGCAGTGGGACCAATTTATACTCTCATTAGCAATCTAGCAATCATGTGCTTTTACTTTTTTCTCCCTATTAACTTGAATCTCTGTAAATTTCACTGATAGTCTGGATGGGGTCCAGGAAGCGAGGTAAGGAAATGAGGCTTGTGTAACATGCTGCTATGCCTAGTTTTATTCAGGTTTCACTAATACTTCCAAGGACCACTTTGACAACACAGGAAAGAGCCAGGCAAAAGAGAGCAGTAGAATTGATAGGCACTTATTTACAAGCAATATTTAAGAAAAAGCAGAGCACTTAAAAGAGGTAAGCACAATTAGCTGGGCATAGTGGTGCCCGCCTGTAGTCCCAGCTTCTTGGGAGGCTGAGGCAGGAGAATCGCTTGAACCCAGGAGGCGGAGGTTGCAGTGAGCAAAGATCCTGCCGCCACTGCACTCTGGCCTGGCGACAGAATGAGACTTCGTCTCAAAAAAAAAAAAAAAAAAAAAAAAAAAAAGTAAGCAGTTATGGGGAAGAAAATGGAAATGTTCTCAATTTTGACCATAGAATTCAAATTCCCTTGGAGGCAACCTTTGTTTCCAACTTAATAGATTTAGATTAGTTCAACTCTATCCTTTTAACATCTATTAACAGTTCAAAAAGAAGTATCTGCTGTTAGCTTAGTCTTGTTCCCAAGAGGCCAACTGGTGCTGGGTTTGGCAGCTTCTCTGGAGAAAGGCTCAATGAGTGTGGAGACTAAAATAACAAACTTGTTTTGAGACTGAATGCTTTCAGAACATGATTGGAGACTTTAAAAATTAATTCCAGAAGTAACCAACTATCATCTACAAATAGAAGAACCTGTCTTCCACATTTACACAGAATCCTTCATGTGATTAATTTCAGAATCCTTTATTTTCCCTTGTTTATTTTTTTCTGTAGCTATGATTCACCCTCTAAATAATTAATCTGTCATCGTATTTTAGTGTGTTCGTAGGCACCATGACATTTTTCTACACATTGCTAGAAAATGAGTCAGCCAATCAACAGCGTGTGTTGGATACTAATATTACATCATCCATTTTAGTTTAAAAACGAATTGACCAGCAGACACTTACAATTTTACTGTGGAAAGGCTAAAATTATAAGGGCTAGAGTAAGTATTAGCTATACTCCTTGGTTTTAGATTTTAGAAGCAATGAATCAATTTATCTTAAATGTGAAAAAAAATAATACTAGGAAGACTGGTCTATTTTAGTGTAGATGCAAAAAAAGAAAAACAGTATTCCTCTGTAAAATCAGATTGGTTTTCTTTAATTAATGTTTATGAGCCTATTAAAAAGATGAATATTTTAATATAAATTCTTTGGTTGTAATAAGTTGAATTACAAAGGCAAAACATGTTTATTAAAGAAAAATCAGGAAATATTGAAACTAAAGGAAGAAAATAATATTTATGATTTAGCTATTCATAGACAACCATGTTAACCTTGGTTTATATTTTTCCAAGCTATTTTCTTTTATTTCTTTGGTTACACCTTTCCAGACTTAAAAATATGTATTTGATTACATAAATTGTATTATGCTATAATAAATAATTATCCCCTAGCCTGCTTTAATCAAGCTATGCCAAGAACAGGTTTCTAAATATTAATCTACTTTACTCTACTTTACTTTTCTAAACAAATGAATTACATATCATAGTATGGAAATACCATAATTTGATCAACAAACTGAGGGACACTTACGTTGTTTGAAAGATGTCATCGTTTTAACTAATTTTTCCATAAATGCCTTTCTACACGACTTATTGAATACTTGTTAGAATTGTTCCTTAGAAACATCCCTAGCAGTAAAATTGCTAGTTTGAAGGCACATATATTTTGAATTTGATGTAGATTGCTAGATTCCTTTCCAGAGAACTTGTACCTATGTATTCTCTCACTGGCAATGAAATGAGTCCCAACTTCCCCAGCACTGGGCATTAATAATCATAATAATTTTTGACAGATAGGTTAAAAGTATCAGATTGTTGTTTTAATTATTATCTTTCAATCATCTTTTAATTCCTGGCCATTTTCATTTATTTTATGAATTGTCTCTGTATGTCTTTTGATTTTTTAGAAACAATGTTCATCTTTTTAAATTGATAATTTGTACTTTATTAAAGATATGCTGCAAATGTTTTGCTCAATAATATATCTTTTGATTTTGTTTATGGTGTATTTTTTGAACAGAAGTTAAATTTTACAGGTCAAAACTTTTAATATTTTCCTGTATGATTTTTGGCTTTTTAGTCATGCTTAGACAGAACAGCCTCAACATAAAAATACTCTAATTTTAAAAATATGCTATTGGGTTTTTATACATAAAATTTTATTTTGGGGACAGGTATGGTGGTTCATGCTTATAATGCCAGCACTTTGGGAGTCCTAGGTAGAAGGAGTGCTTGAACCCAGGAGTTTGAGAGCAGCCTGGTCAACAAAGAGAGACTTATCTCTACAAAAATTTTAAAAGTTAGCCAGATGTGATAGTGTGTGCCTGCAGTCATAGCTACTCAGGAGGATGAAATGGAAGGATTGCTTGAATCCAGCAGTTCAAAGTTGCAGTGAGCATGATCATGCCACTGCACTTGAGCCTGGGCAACAGAGCAAGACTCTGTCTCTAACAATGACAACAACAATAGCAATAAAAGTTACTTCCTCTGTAGTTTATTTTTTGTATGTTATGGTGTGTGGCAGGATTTCTTCTTTCCAAAATGGAGGGTTATTATCCCAATTATATTTATTTTATAATTCAATCTTTCTTATTTATTTCAAATTATCTTTTAATACTCTGAATTTTTTATTCTCTTCCATTAATATGTATGTTTGAAACAGGATAAAGGAATATTTGATAGTTTAGTCTCTCATGAGAATGATTCTAATGTTTCATTGCATCTGGGACCCCTTATGGACAGAACCCAGTCTATGACCATTGCTGCCAGCTCTCGAGCTTGCTTTTGGTTTTATTATACCTCCATTTGATGCCTATGACCTGAGAAATCTCCTTAATTTATCTGATCTTTGATTTTTGCAGTAGTAGAATAAGAATCCTAATAGATAATGATAGAACCACCTCAATTAGATTGTTGTGTCTAGCATGTTAGCTACCACTATTATTAGAATCTTGAGTTTTCCAATGGATTCATTTCCCACCCAGCAGTCAGAAAAGCTCGACAGTGGTCACTTTCTGGACTGTCTTCAGAACCCATGGTCAGCAATAAATGTGGAGCTCTTGCTCGCTCTCTGTCTCTGCTCTTTGTCTTCTCACAAAGACCCATAACCTATTTCATGGGAGAGTTAATAATTAATGGCATGAATTTTCTTGCATAACATATGTTTCATGCTCTTGATATACATTATGATCTCTACTTCACAACTAAAAACCAAAACCAAAACAACCAAAAAATAAAAATAAAACAAACAACAATAAGAGCAAACACCAGAGGCTCTGAGTGATTATATAGCTAGCCCAAATTTACACATCCAGGAAGGATCCCAATCAGGATTCCAATTCAGGCTTTTGATTTTATGCAGTTCTTTAAATAGTCAAACTTTTCAAAATTTTATCTCTGGACACTTGGCCTTTTGTCCTAGGATTTTAAAAGTTTCCATTTAAATATTTTAAAAATGCAATTTCAGTTCTTTCACGTTCTAAACTTGGGAGCAACAGTGCAAGTTAGGAAAGTATACCTTGATATCTTGTCCGTCTTTGCAACAACTTGTTTCCTCTATCTTGTGTTCCTTATGTGATTTTCTATACTTTCTATTAATCTCTGAAAACCTGGAAAGATATCAGCATCTCTTAACCACTTTCTCCTTCTTGGAAACATTTGCGGCAGTCAAGCCTTTCTCCACTTGTGGAAATCAAAATAAAACTACTTACAGAACAGAATGCTTGAAACTTCTCTGACTTTATTTCAACCTTGACATTCCTACTGTAGGGAATTCAACTAAAAGAAATTGTCAGATGTAAGGGTTATAGTCATTGTTGAAAAGGTGAAAATGTGGAGGCTTCTGTATTTGAACTAACTGAAATTTCCCACCAACTTTTTATTTTCGGAAACTTTTAAAGACATTTAAGTCCTGCTTTTCTTCAGTTTTCTTATCCACTGCCTTATTCTTTAGGTATCAGGTGTTTATAGTTTTCATACTAAATTGTAGTGTCAAAAAAATCATCAGATGAACACATGCGTGTTCAGAAGACCCAAAGTCCTGAAGTCGTTTTTTAGAGTGTGCCCAGAGTGATATAGTGAAACATTATAATTCAGTGTTGTTGGTGAATTATGACCAAGGTCATGGAAAACACATTGCTTTTTCTAGTGGTAGCATGATTATCATGCCTGTGATGATAAATCTGCACCCACTGAAAATGCAGTTAACTTACCTTGGTGATTTTGATTTATTAGCCTTGCGATGGACAAGGTTGCCCATTTGTTAGTGCTTGTTTTATATTTGAATAGCTTGGAAGCATATAACTTTGAGGCATAGCTTAGAATTGGTTTAGCTATTTCGTATTTCATAGAAAGCATCTGATCAGAGAACTTTGGTTTCTGATGTTTCTATTGTGACACTGCATAGTTTTTAGTATAGTGAGGATACCTGATTTGTATGTTGGAGCATCTCTCTTCATGATCAAGGTTGAAGTTTCAGAGAACTGTCATAACTATAACAGAAACAGGAAAATTGCCACTGAATAATCAACTTCATTTGGGAGTAAAAGTTAGATGGCTTAAATAGAAGACATTGAAGGACTAGTGACTGACAAAATGTATTTTATTTAGTTTCTCTTTGAGCTTTTGTTCAGAATAGACATATGACCCTGAGGACTTTTATTAAAAATGGTACTTAATATTAATTATTCAGAGGTATCTGCCAGTATTGGATTGGAATGGCATAAGAAGATTCTTGAATGAAAGTATGTGACTAGAATGAGAGCTTAATGAATGAGTATGGATTTTGAGTGCCAAAATATAGAATAAATTCTAGGGTTAAATTGACCATTGAAAAAGTTGTTAGCCTTAGTTCTTTCATATTCCTTATTACAACATGAAGCATAGCACATTAATAGGATCTTTGTACTGTTAGTCCTTTTGCCAGGGTTTCTCAATCTTCACAATACTATTATTTTGGATCGGGTAATTCTTTGTTGTCTGGAGTTGTCCCGCACATTGTAAGGGGTTTAGCATCATGGTTTAGCATCATCCCTGGCCTTTACCCATTATATGCCAGTAACACTATCCCCATTGCGACAACCACAAATGTCTTTAGACATTGTGAAATGTCCCCAGGTGAGTAAAACCATCTCTGATTGAGGATCACTGCCTTATAGTGGTGATGCAAGAGAGAAGAGTGACCAAGAAGAAAGTGTCAATTTTGAAGATATCACAATGTGTGTATTAAGATCAGATGCCAGTCACAGTATTTAGTTCATTTACCACCAAGCCCAATTAAACTGAACTCTTATAAATTTAAACCCGACAGAGATGGCTGCAAAGTAATTTCAGTTTTCTAGGTCTAATACTTTATAACATTTGTTAGTTTTGCATTCAATGTTGCATCAGATGCAACATTGATTACAAATGTTGCATCTGATGCAACAAGGATTACATCAAGCCTTTTGATGTAATCTAATACTTGGTTTTATAAGCACTGCAGTTTTAATCATCCATGGACAACTGTTGTTTTATACTGTTATATAATGTTAAATATTTTAAGAAATGATGAAAAATAAGGAATGCTTATCCTTCAGTCAACTTTTATTGGTTCTTTTAAATCTTACATGTTAAAAGTAGAGTCTTTCTCCTGTGAGGTATTTTATTATTTTCTGTTGTCAGATTTGGTGTTCTTCACGAAGGAGCTTAGTCTGGACCTATACTATTTGGAATAGGGAACTCCCCCTGACATAGGCAGGATGATAATAATAGCCAATTATCTAATACATCACAAAGAAATATTCTGATTCTAGAATTCTTTTGGTGCCAAAAGAAGAAAGGCATATGTGAGAAGAAGCAATCAGAAGATTGGCAGGATTTCAGAATCTATTTGAAATATTCATTACCTATTTGGAATTGGTCTTAAAAATTTAAAACAATGTAAAGCTGAATAATTAAAGATAAAAAAATAAAGGAAGAATACAAGGTTTCTATGCTATGAAGCAACTGGGATTACTATGATTTTGGGGCAGTGAATTTGTTTCTAGAAGTTTTGTTGGAACTAAGGCAAAAAGGTAAGTAATTAAGCACTATCAGTTGGCTTAAGTAGTATTATCTGTTTCTTATAAAAGGCTTTCCACACTTTCTGCAAGGCACATTTTTTTTCTCATGGAATTTGTCCAAAGAAATAAGTGTTCTTAGGATTTAATAAAATTATGTTTATAATTTTTTTTTTTTTTTTGCTTAGATGATAAGATATATGGTTCACAATGTTTTTTGTTTTACAACCCATGAGTATATTTTCAATTAGCTCTTCTGTGCCTTCTAGGAAGAAAAGCAAATCACCTTGGAATGAAAAACTTTAAGGTGGAAGTTACTAATATACCACATTGTCTGTACACAACAATTCAGGCCCCTCGGTCTGTGTCTGATTTTAAGTAGAATTGCATCCTCATGCGCCTTCAGTTATAAACTATACCCGCATGTAGCTTTGTGAGTTGGTTTTCTTATTTGGGCTACTTAAAATTTTCCTTTTAAAAGCTAAATGATTTTACCAAATTAAATACATTTAATGTTAATACTGAGCTTTATGACTGTTGTCAACAGAGACCAACACTTATTTGAGAGGCCTCTTACAAAGAGAAAATAAAATCATGCATTATCAAAGAGTAGGATACTCTACTATTGCTTTATTTTTGTAAATCAACACCATTACTAAATCACTTTTACATATAGATTTTTAGAGTGCTCTTGAACACAGACATATTTAATCTCTTTAAAGAGTGAATTGGAAGATTGAATGTGGCATAAGAAAAATCCTGGCTTTTAACTGTATGTGATTGATATTCCAGAGTGGTCATATACACAATCGTCAGCATTATACATTTTTTATTCTTGATGGTCTCTGCCTATTGGGTCAAATGCTAATAATAGACCCAAGAGATGGGTCAGAGAAATTATTCAGAGAAATTAATTTGAACTGTTAATTAATCTTAACTGTCCCTAAGTGAGATGGAACAGAGGTGAATAGTGGCTTTAGAATAGCTGTTCTGGATACCTGATTGATATTTGTCATTTGTTATGAAAAAATCTGTTATGGAGTTCTAAAAAATACTAAAAATATTATCAGTCTATTTTTTGGAATGATTAAGTATAAAAATATCACCTTGACCATCTTGAAGTAATTACCCTATAGACTTAAGATAATTAGCTTGATAAAGACTGGGTTGTTCTTCCAGAACAGACTGTGAAAATATTTCTGGTGGTAAGAGATCATTTTCTAGAGCTGATTCCAATATAGCATGACTACTTATATGTTTTCAAGGGGAGGAATTACAGGCTTCTAACATGATTTTTAATATGGAACTATCAACATGAATTATCATTTAGAGTGAAATTATTTCACCAGTATTTGTTGGAAATCTGTACTGCAATATTTCCTCTTGGAAGGTCTTGACATTTTAAAACATAATTTTCTGTATTTTAGAAGTTTAGGTAGTGTGCAAAAGCTTTTATTGCAATGAATGTTAAAGAACTCAGGACCTAGGCTCCATCTGATTTTCTGTATCTTAACCATATCCAGAAAGTCTCCTGTTTACTTTTAGAATTGTAAAGGAATTCAGAAGATTCATTTCAGCTGCTTCCTACCATTCAGATACTTTCTTCACGAAGCCCTGGATTACAGCATGCTCATAATGAATTGCAGTTGTTCAATTATTGGGAGGTTTGTAATGAAGCTTTGGAGTCTAAATGGGTCAGAGCAGGTTTTGCACTTTATCAGCTTGTGAGAAAATCCAAGTGGCACTCTGTGCTAAAGACTATGGCATAATAATTTTGGCACCTCTTGGTCTCTGTTTTTCTAAAGAGAGGAGGATATTATTGAGGACTAGCCAATAAATGAATTCTTTTTTTTTTTTTTTGGTCAATATTATTTTTATTTTTTAATTTTAATTTTTATTTATTTATTTTTTAAATTTATTTATTATTATTATACTTTAAGTTGTAGGGTACATGTGCATAACGTGCAGGTTTGTTACATATGTATACTTGTGCCATGTTGGTGTGCTGCACCCATCAACTTGTCATTTACATCAGGTATAACTCCCAATGCAATCCCTCCCCCCTCCCCTCTCCCCATGACAGTATTTTTATTTTTTTTTTTAAATTTATTTATTATTATTATACTTTAAGTTCTAGGGTACATGTGCATAATGTGCAGGTTTGTTACATATGTATACTTGTGCCATGTTGGTGTGCTGCACCCATCAACTCATCAGCACCCATCAACTCGTCATTTACATCAGGTATAACTCCCAATGCAATCCCTCCCCCTACCCCTCCCCATGATAGGCCCCGGTGTGTGATGTTCCCCTTCCCGAGTCCAAGTGATCTCATTGTTCAGTTCCCACCTATGAGTGAGAACATGCGGTGTTTGGTTTTCTGTTCTTGTGATAGTTTGCTAAGAATGATGGTTTCCAGATGCATCCATGTCCCTACAAAGGACACGAACTCATCCTTTTTGATGGCTGCATAGTATTCCATGGTGTATATGTGCCACATTTTCTTAATCCAATCTGTCACTGATGGACATTTGGGTTGATTCCAAGTCTTTGCTATTGTGAATAGTGCCGCAATAAACATACGTGTGCATGTGTCTTTATAGCAGCATAATTTATAATCCTTTGGGTATATACCCAGTAATGGGATGGCTGGGTCATATGGTACATCTAGTTCTAGATCCTTGAGGAATCGCCATACTGTTTTCCACAATGGTTGAACTAGTTTACAATCCCACCAACAGTGTAAAAGTGTTCCTATTTCTCCACATCCTCTCCAGCACCTGTTGTTTCCTGACTTTTGAATGATCGCCATTCTAACTGCTGTGAGATGGTATCTCATTGTGGTTTTGATTTGCATTTCTCTGATGGCCAGTGATGATGAGCATTTTTTCATGTGTCTGTTGGCTGTATGAATGTCTTCTTTTGAGAAATGTCTGTTCATATCCTTTGCCCACTTTTTGATGGGGTTGTTTGTTTTTTTCTTGTAAATTTGTTTGAGTTCTTTGTAGGTTCTGGATATTAGCCCTTTGTCAGATGAGTAGATTGCAAAAATTTTCTCCCATTCTGTAGGTTGCCTGTTCACTCTGATGGTAGTTTCTTTTGCTGTGCAGAAGCTCTTTAGTTTAATGAGATCCCATTTGTCAATTTTGGCTTTTGCTGCCGTTGCTTTTGGTGTTTTAGACATGAAGTCTTTTCCCATGCCTATGTCCTGAATGGTACTACCTAGGTTTTCCTCTAGGATTTTTATGGTATTAGGTCTAAGAAGGTCCTAAACGAAATGAAAGAGATGAAAACCATGACACGAGAAATACGTGACAAATGCACAAGCTTCAGTAACCGACTCGATCAACTGGAAGAAAGAGTATCAGCGATTGAGGATCAAATGAATGAAATGAAGCGAGAAGAGAAACCAAAAGAAAAAAGAAGAAAAAGAAATGAACAAAGCCTGCAAGAAGTATGGGATTATGTAAAAAGACCAAATCTACGTCTGATTGGGGTGCCTGAAAGTGAGGGGGAAGATGGAACCAAGTTGGAAAACACTCTTCAGGATATCATCCAGGAGAACTTCCCCAACCTAGTAGGGCAGGCCAACATTCAAATCCAGGAAATACAGAGAACGCCACAAAGATACTCCTCAAGAAGAGCAACTCCAAGACACATAATTGCCAGATTCACCAAAGTTGAAATGAAGGAAAAAATCTTAAGGGCAGCCAGAGAGAAAGGTCGGGTTACCCACAAAGGGAAGCCCATCAGACTAACAGCAGATCTCTCAGCAGAAACTCTCCAAGCCAGAAGAGAGTGGGGGCCAATATTCAACATTCTTAAAGAAAAGAATTTTCAACCCAGAATTTCATATCCAGCCAAACTAAGTTTCATAAGTGAAGGAGAAATAAAATCCTTTACAGATAAGCAAATGCTTAGAGATTTTGTCACCACTAAGCCTGCTTTACAAGAGACCCTGAAGGAAGCACTAAACATGGAAAGGAACAACCGGTACCAGCCATTGCAAAAACATGCCAAAATGTAAAGACCATCGAGGCTAGGAAGAAACTGCATCAACTAACGAGCAAAATAACCAGTTAATATCATAATGGCAGGATCAAGTTCACACATAACAATATTAACCTTAAATGTAAATGGACTAAATGCTCCAATTAAAAGACATAGACTGGCAAACTGGATAAAGAGTCAAGACCCATCAGTCTGCTGTATTCAGGAGACCCATCTCACACGCAGAGACATACATAGGCTCAAAATAAAGGGATGGAGGAAGATTTACCAAGCAAATGGAGAACAAAAAAAAAGCAGGGGTTGCCATACTAGTCTCTGATAAAACAGACTTTAAACCATCAAAGATCAAAAGAGACAAAGAAGGCCATTACATAATGGTAAAGGGATCAATTCAACAGGAAGAGCTAACTATCCTAAATATATATGCACCCAGTACAGGAGCACCCAGATTCATAAAGCAAGTCCTTAGAGACTTACAAAGAGACTTAGACTCCCATACAATAATAATGGGAGACTTCAACACTCCACTGTCAACATTAGACAGATCAACGAGACAGAAAGTTAACAAGGATATCCAGGAATTGAACTCATCTCTGCAGCAAGCAGACCTAATAGACATCTATAGAACTCTCCAC